AATTATCGACTATCTTTATTTCATCACTTTATTAATTACTATATACATTCAAAAATATTTAATATTATGATACAAATGAGTGCTACCAAGAGAAAACCGCTGTTCAGAATTTCAAATATATTCTGTGCCAGACACAATCCCTAATAAATTATAAAGATTTTGTCAAATAAAAAATATATTTGAAATTTCGAACTGTGTTTTCTCTTGGCAGCATTGAAATTCCGAACTGTGATTTCTCTTGGCAGCATTCAAATATCAGTAAACTTTTATACACGCATTTTGTTTAACCGAATGATAACCATTTTGATACCTAAATTGACCTAACAACATTTATTTTGGTACAAAAAACTCAATTTAGTACGGACAAAAAAAGATGCATAACTGTGCGATAGCGTTTAAATGTTGGTAAATAAATCAAATAATACTAAAATTGTGCAATTATTACAAACCACTAGATCATAAGTTATAATAGTTTAATCAACCTTATAGAATTGTATTCTTTTTTGTGTTAAATTAGGTTCTTTTGTATTAAATTAAATGCTCTTTCTTGCAAAATTAAGTTTGTTTTGTACTTATTTAGGTATCGAAACAGATATATTGATTGAAAGTCTATGTTCTATAAAAGATTCTAAAAACTCCTCTTCCTAGAATAAGGAGAATTTTGTAGTGTACATATATTATACGCTGCAATATACTTCTTTTGATGATAAAATGTTCTAAGCGAACAAAAAAAAAACACTAGCGAAGAATCATTATCAGAAAATAATGAACCCAATCTATTGGAAGAAAAATATTATGCTACTCAGCTAAAAAAAGCTTTTGATGATTTGATGGATCTTCATTCTTTATTGGACAAAAATTTTATTTCTTATCTTACTACCTTTGTTATCTCTTTTACAGTTAGTGTTGTGTTTTCAGTTGCAGATAAAGATAGTATGGCATCATTAAGTAGCAAAATTCTTTCAATTTCTATATCTGGGATAGGAAGCCTTTTAATTCTTTTTGCAAACATAGTGTTGCTTAAAGATCTTTTTACTAGAAACAAATTAGATAACGAACAAGCAAACAAGCCAGATACTGTTGATAAATTGAACAAAGAAGAACAAGCAAACAAACCAGATATTGTTAATAAATTGAAAAAAGAAGAACAAGCTAACCAATCAAATACTGCTGACGATTCGATTGCACCAGATAATAATACAGAAGATCAATTGAACAAAAAACAAATATCAAAGATTTCTTGGGAAATTAGCGAGAATATAGAAAATTATAAAACTATTTAGAGAATTTGCAACACTGTATGAAAAAAACTTAGAATATAACAGAGAGGTGATTCGTGATATAATGAAATCTAAATCGAATTCAAAAAGAAAGGTTACTTTTGAAGTTGAAGACTATGTCAAGGTTCCAGTTCCAAAAATTGATCGATCTAATACTGAACGGAAATTTACCCTGTAAAGTATTGGAGATTCTTCAAGAATATTATAAGCTTGCTAATGGTATCTTAGATATTTGTTTTCGTGCATGTGATATAGGTCCGTTAGAATCATCT